GGGGCTCGGGGCTGAGGGCGATGGCGCCCGGGCCCCTCCCGCTGGGTCCCGCTGCCTGCGCGGCGCCCCGGGGACAGGGCCCGGGGCCGGGCTCGGTCCCTGCTGCCACCAGGGCGCTGCCGAGGGCTCCCCGCCCGCCGGGACCGAGCACTGAGGGGCGGCCGCCGCCTTCTCCGGCCCCTTGTCCCGGCCCCCATGTCGAGCAGGGCCGCCCGGAGCCCGTTGTGCGGGACCACGTCCACACTGATGGCTTTTGAACATCTCCTTGGGCTCYACAGCCTCTCTGAGCAACCTGTTCAAGTGCTTGCTCACCCTCCCAGTGAAAAGCTGCTTTTCCCTCTACTCAGAGGGAACCTCCTGTGTTTGTCTCCCTTGGGTCTTGTTCTGTCTCTTGGACACCAGTACCAAGAGCCTGGCTCTGTCCTCTTGGCACCCTCCCTTCAGACATTTCTATACCCTGATCAAATTCCTCCACAGACTTCTGTAGCCTTTCAACCCCCAGTTCCCCCAGCCTTTCTTCTCTGAGAATGCTCCAGCCTGTGAATCATCTTCACGGCCCGTTCACCGGCCTCTCTCCAGTGGAGACACAGCGCCTCAGCTGTGGCCTCACCAGTGCTGAGGAGAGGGCAAGGATTCCTTCCCTCAGCCTGCCAACAACACTCAAAATACTCAAGTAYTTTCCTTTCTTATGCACCTGTGTACTTGGAATAGCCCCTGTGAACATTCAGGATCTTATCCATGAAAGCTTAGCTCTGGGGATGTGAGTAATAAAGCAATTAATTTTTCATATCTGTGTACTTTGAGCATGGAAACTGACTTGCTCCTAGTCTCTGCTATGTGCTGGTTCTGTGGGTTTTTTTTAATTTTTTTTTTTATTAAGGAACTTCTATATTTCCCAAATCCCAGCTTTCCTTTTAAATTGCAGGTATATATCTATTTCTGTCAGTGATGGCTGCAAAGCAAATTTTAAAAGTGCAAAGTGAGGGAGATTGATACAAAGGTGACTTTACAATGGATATGGGACAAGGGAGTTATAAATGCATCATTCATCAGGGTTACCTCACATGTCTGRTCTTGGTTCTTTGAAATATGAATTTTGTTGACTGTTTCACTCTGTGTTGGAGAGGCAAGAAGAAAACTGCAGAGCTGGAGCTTTCTCTGGCCTAAAGTGATGTCACAACAGTTCTAAAGTGTTTTGCTGGTAGGGCTACCCAAGGCACATGAACAACTAAGAAACACTTCACGTGTCAGCTAGTGCTGCCAGGTTCCCCATTTGTTCCACATGCTCTTTTTCCCCCCATAGACAGAATCAGGGCAGAGTTTTAGGACTCTGACTATGGGTTTGAGGTTTCAGATTTTCTACAGGTGGGTGGAATGGTGGCTTAGACTTGGAASAGATAAATGTGTGTGACAGGGTGGGACACAGCAGGGTGTACACTCTGATTTAGCATCTGGAAAGTGTTGGATTTGAGATTACCSCGAGTCCCATGTGACAGAAATAAGCATCACATCTCATAGTTATTCATAGTTATTTAATCAATTTAATCATAGTTATTTTAAAATTTCATTTTTAAAGCTGCGAACATAACAATTTACAAAAGAAAAGGAGTATGTTGTCACTGCAATTACAATAACAAATACAAAAACAAATACAATGCACAAAGATTCTATAAAGTTTCCCCACTAATGTTCTGCCTCTGAGCACCAGAGTCTATTTTCTATACATGAAAGGAAGAGAAGCCTCATAAGAGGCCATACATGCAGTCTAACATGAAGTTTGAAACAAGTGCTCTGTCAGGGAGTAACAGTAAAATATGCTTAGTTTGTCAAAACAACACTTAGGCCAGCAGGGCTTTTTGCAGCATCCCAGGACTCCGTGTTGTCACCTTTTGCTGCAAGGTTGCTGTAAACATGTCTTTATTGAGATTTTATGGCCTCATCCTCAGATGGTACCACTGCACTCTCCTCACTGAYAGCTCTGCTGGCAGAAGCAGGCCTGGTAATCTTCATTCCCAAAATGGGATCCCTCAGCATGTTACTCCTCATGGAAGAGGAGAACATTTCCCCTTTCACATGTAGCATTTCAGTCTTTTTTCCCAGAGACAGGCAACAGCCCTGTCCTGCTGCCTGCTGACTGTGGCAGGTTTGCTCAGGAGTTGTGGGGCCAGGAGAGGCACAAAGMCAAAGCCAGAACACATGAACCCTCTTTGGTCCTTCCCTCATGCAGTCTGCTTTCTGTAGCCCCTTTATAGGTGAGATTCAGCACATGTGACACATCCCATCCTTTCTGAGTCAACACTTGTGAGTCTTTGTGACMGCTGTCTGAGGGGGATGGTGATGGGTGTGCAAAGACATGGGGCAAGGGCCAGGTGGGGTGTCCAGAGAAGCCTCTTTGGAAGGTGGTCAGCACCTGGCACCAAGGACGTGCCGCCAAGCCAGTTTCCATAACTTGGAGCTGGTGTGGGGACAAGGAGGCTGGCACATGTCTGGCTCTTGATCTGCAATAACCCTCCCAATCTGTGTCTTCCACAGAACATTCTCTTCTTAATGAAAGATTCTTGCTGCATATATAAAAAAAGCTCAGAGGTGATGACAYCATTAGATCTCCAACTAACTACTCTTTTTTTTCAGTTCATTTGCAAAATCAGGAGACATCTGATCTATCCAAACACCAGCCCCTGTAGAAGAAAAAGTAACGTGTCCACCATGATCTCATAGTAGAAAAACTGCAATTCATTTAAGGTAATTTAGTTCTTCCTTGCCCAAATGCCTACATCTCCTAATTGAGTAAGAAGACACACTGCCAGGAGCTGAGTGTTTCATTAGATCAGATAGAAGCTTTGTTATTAAAATACAGACCTGGTCCTAAAAATGTCTGGAAAAAACAACCATGCCCCATGAATATAATTGTTGACAAATTGGCTAAGTTTCAAAGCAAATGGGTCACAATGTTTTATTTTGTCCAGTCATAGTTTTGAATTATGCATTTATATATAAAGCAAAGCTGCAGAGCCATGTTTCAATTCTATCAGAATTGATCCAAGTTGGTTCACCCCAGACATTTGTACTCACTTTTGAAGCCCTTCATGCACCAAAACCACAGCCTATCATGGGGTTATGGTTTGACCCCAAAACCAGAACACAAGAAAAAGAACAACATGACAAAGCAAGGCTTGGTGCAAAAAATGGCACCAGGGTGTTTGCATTAATGGTAGCCCACCAGTATTCTACCCACTAATTTTTATAAGTGTCATAATTTGTTGTAAATGTCATTGTTTTGTCATATTATCATGATTTTGCTTTTCCTTGTAGGATCACACTTTCCCCTTTTTTTCAAATGTGGTTTCAAGCTGAAAGGGAKCAGGTTTAGATTAGATATTGGGAAGAAATTCTTCCCTGTGAGGGTGGTGAGGCCCTGGCACAAGTTTGCCCAGAGAAGCTGTGGCTGCCCCTGGATCCCTGGAAGTGTCCAAGGCCAGGCTGAATGGGGCTCTGAGCACCCTGGGATAGTGGAAGGTGTCCCTGCCCATGGCAGGGAGTTGGAACTGGATGAGCTTGAAGATCCCTTCCAACCGAAACTATTCTGTAATTCCATATSTGGTAATTAATATATTCCTGAGTGGACAATTTTGCAAAAGGGACAAAGGCTAACATGAGACATTTTGTTGGAATGTATCTGGCACTGCAGTGGAAAAAGGAAAATTATTTTGGGGGCTATTATTTTTTTCTATGATGATGACTCTTCAGAAATCCATCTACCAAAGCTTCAGTGAAATACCCTGAGTTTTTAGAAACTAAAACATGCCAAGCTGCTTTTTTTTCCCCCCTCTCTTTATTGTCACTGCTGAATCCGGTTCTTTTCTCTCCACCAGAGAGCGCCAGGCGGCTGCTGCCCGGGAGGTGGGGACTTCCCAGGGATGTGCGCTTCTCCCTGGGAAGCACAAACACTTGTTCGCTCCTCAGACAGATGCTTGAGCACACTCAGACCAGCTGGCTTTGAGAATGCGGGACATCAGAAAGAAGAAAGAACTTGGTAAGTAGCAAAAGAGATCTTCACGGTTTAGAGTGAGAGCAGCAGCATTTCAAGGAATCTTGTGGGAAACCAACAGGCTTTGAAAAACGCCTTTCTCCAGAAGAACAGTGAAAATGCTCCAATTCAGCTAGACAGATAAGAAAATCGAAGGACCTGTGCATATATAGAGAACTTCACCTTCAGTGTGATGGTTTTGAGTGTGGCTCTTGAGGTGGCTGTGATGGTGCAGTCTTTTTTTCCTGGCTCCTCCTGAAGCCTGTACACAGCACTAGAGGCACAGAATAGATGATAGGATCATYTCCATAAAACAAAGATCCTATGTGATTCTCTATCTCTAAAACCTTGTAGTAAACACTTGGTAAAAATTACCCATTTTCAAATCTCATTTTAGTATGTGTGAATCTCCTTCAGACTTAGAGAGAAAATTTGTATTTTTAGAGTTTTTTTCCTCATGCTTTTAAAAAATGCATTTACACGCCTTTACATACCTCTGTCAAATTTCTCCTGAACAGATAACCTGAATGTGAGCTAACAAAGCAAAGTTTTCTTCTTGTGGYATTTGGCTGCTCAGATGATTGATGAGTAAAGAAGCAGCAGCAGCAAATTTTGCATAGCTGTAGTTGTCACACCTGGAGAAGCCCTCAGGATCTGCAGTCTTTAAAGCCTGTTCCAAGAGCACCAAAACTTTCCCCAGGCCAAGACTGCAGAGGAAATATTATTAAATATCTTTTGGGAAGTTTTTTTTCCCTTAAACTCTTTCATAGACTTTACAGCATAAATTAATGGATGACAGGAATAATGGATGCAGTTTCTGTCAGCCAAAAAGGGTTAGAGGTGTCACACCGCAGGAACACCTCATTCATTAGAGAAGAAAGGAGTAAGTGGGAACCAAACCCAGCCGTATTARTCACAAATGACACCTTAAAATAGAGGCTGTGTTTTTCTTGCTGTTTTTGGCAGGGCCACAGTGTGCTCTCTTCTGTATCTTACATATCTTCTGCTCTTGTCATTGTACTTTCTCTGACCTTTTTGTACTTCCTCTGACCTTTTCTTGTGGCTCGTTGCTCTTCGTTCCTTCAGCCACCTGCCTGCAGAGACAGCAAACCTCAGCATGGTCTCTTCCTTCCAGCAGAAGCATCCCTGGATGTCAGTAATCCGWGCACTTTGTTTTTAACACCAGTGGACTTCACTGGAGAGATGCACGTGGTTGGATGAGAGCCTGAGCCCTCAACTATCAGCTCAAGCTGATGACTACAACCAGGGCTCCATGACACTGAAGAGCTGAATCCATCCCAGATCCTGGACTGACAAGGCATTAATAAATTGTTAAGGATTTATCAAAACTACAGAGGCAATTAAAAGCAAATTCTTTGTCAGCAGAAAAGCAACTTTCAACACACAAAAAATGAAAGGGAAATAAAAGTTGTGTATGTTGCTTCATTGCAGCCAACACCTTGAAATTTTTTTATTGCCAGAGTCTGTCAGGACTGAAAATAGAAATATTATCCATTTTGGTCTAATAGTAGGGATATTTCTATGAGTGTTTGTATGTTAAGAGTGATGGATGGAAATATCCTATGAATGGAAAAGTAAACATTACTGGACTTGTTTGCAGATCAACTGTCTTAGAAGGAGACAGTTGAAATTAGAACAAAAATAACCACAAAAACAAGTGCAATGCTCACAGCATTATCATTAGCTGTATAATTTTGATTTGTTTCTTCAGTTTTATGTCAAACACAGGCTGAATGGTCTCTGGAGCATTTTCTGTGAASCACTCAAGCAGAGGTTAGTCTGTGCTGAAACAGTGATGGACAGAGGACTGCATGTCAGTGTTAACTGGATGCAGAAAGAGCTGGAGGAGTTCCTATCTGAAAGCAGAAAGAGAGACCCAAATCTTTGGGGATTTAAGATTTGARTGGGTCAAAGAACAGCTCTCTGCTGTCTCTTTGCCTTTTCCACAGCTCTCCTAAGCTGTGAGATGCGGGATACCCCACAGAGGGCCAGGCCAGGAGCCCTTTGCCCCCTTTTCAAGGAGAGGCCCAAATCCTCCTGAGCTCAGAGAGCCTTTTCAACCCCTGGTGTGACCATTTGGCTGAGCTGGTCCTTCAGCTCTGCCCCGTGTTTCACCTGAGCTATGGCCCCACTCCCTCTGACAACTCAGTGCACACACACTGTGACAAGTGCTGGGGTAAAACTTGCAGGTAAGCGCTCAGCACCTGCTCTGTGGAAATCTTACCCTCCTCACTGACACCATTCCTTGACACGCAGTCAGTGATTTGTATGAAACCTGTGGACATCAACTCTTGAGACCCTGTCTCCTCTGTTAAATRTGGGTGAAACTGGTCAATGGGTCCAACCACACTGCACAAGGCAAAAATGGCAAAGGACAGCCAATTTGGAGTCCAAGAAGTTGAGGAAATGACCTGAGTGTTCTCAAAGATAGGTGACGTCTAGAGTGAAGAGAGGAACTAAGTAAACCCTGTTCCCAAAAGAGAAAAAKATCATTCTCTGCATCATGGGAATCCACACATTACCATCCCACACAGGGGGTTTTGAAGAGGGAAAGTCATGCAGCGAAACTGCTTTGGATGAGTGCTGCACAACACCATGAACCTTGCTGCATCTTTTCAAACATCTGACGCAGTCCAGTTTCAGATGGAGACACTTCCTGCCACAACCTCCCCTTTTAATCACTGACTGGACATGAAGCARGATTTGGGCTGTGTTCAATTTTTAAGATTGTCTAGAGCAGATGGTTTCCCTGTATTTTCCAGTAAAAGGTTCAGCAAGGCATTTACTAAAACAAACAAACCCCCATTACTTTAGTAACGTAAAAGTAGCTCTTACATCCAACAAATAGAACAAAAGATGCTCTTTTACGAACACACTTCCCACCCCGCAGACACAATGGTTTGTACAATAACACCACCCTCTGCCAAGAGATTCCAGTGGAAGACACAGTGACTCAAAAGAAACAAAGTGTAAGTTTATTGGACGTCAACATTTCTTAGTCAAGATCTAAGTAAAGAAAACACACAGTAGAAAAAGTTGTACAAAGCAGCAATGGATTTACATTACATTAAAGAAAAAGTTACCTTAAGCTATTAAGTCTCAGTCCTAAAAAAAGTAAAAACCCATCCTGGTGTATTGAACAGATATAGAATGTATAAGGTATACAGGATTATAAACCCAGAATTGCTTCTCTTACCTCTATAATCCTTTAAAATGACAAGTGATTTTGTGAAACCGGAAAACTCTCTAGAAAATACATTGGATAATCCAAGTTTCTAGTAGGAAACTATTTCCCTGTACCCAAGCACTTAAAGTGATCCCATTTTCCTGCTTTTTAAAAAGGGACACTGTCAAGAATAAGCCTTAGAAGATGTCCTTTATGTGTATTTTGCACTTAACACTGCAAAAGAGGGTTTGTTCTGGTCTTCTGTACATATTTGAATTAAAGGTGCTGCTGCAGAAGTGGGAAGCTTGTGCCTTTAAAAGGTAATGTGTACCACTGAGAGACTGGAAATGGAGAAAGAGGATTGAGTCCTTTATTCTGGAATAGTGAGAGGAAAAGCAATATGAAAAATCAGCTCAACCCACAGAATTCAGATACATTTTTCAGACATCCTTGCAACAGCTGAGGCTGCCTGTAATAGCATTTTCATGCCCAAGCTGCTCAAGTGTTATGACTCAATTTGTTTATAAATTCTCCAATATTATTAATCTCAAGTATCTCTAATATAGGCAAATCCATTTCCTGTATCCAACCTTTCTCTTGATAGTGTCCCTTTTTGTAGAGCAGTTACAGTACAGTTTTTCACAAGTCATTTTAAATAAACAAGAATCAATAACATTAAAAATACTATCAGGCTGTGTTCAGCAACAACAGAAAAAAAGATTTTAACACTGATTCAATAACAGCAACACTAAAAAAACCCCAACCAAAACAAACAAACAAAAAAACTCCCAACAAAAAACAACCCCCTAAGCTTGTTTTGATTTTTATCTAAATCTTCTGGTAGGAAAATGTAAACAATTTCATTGAACAGTATAGGCACATGCCAGATTACAGGCTCATGCCAGATATTTGCACCCTTGCTGTTAGAGCCAAGAAATTAGGCATAGTCTGTCCTTATCCCATGGGAGGAACTCATTTTAATACTGGAAGCTTGGAACAGAAACGGAGAACACGTAGAGCTTTGGAGCAAACCCACATGTCCTACTTGGGGGAAAACAAACAAAATCAGGCAAAAAAACCTCCTGGATGTTCCTGCCTAAACAGGAAACACAGGACAAGCCTCTTACAGCTGTCTGGGGTCACAGATAAGGCAACATTTCATTTTTGAAACACCCAAACGCCGGTGTCACCCACTTCAGCTTATCTCCTCCATCACCTGTCACGGTTTTGCTCTCCCTTRCAAAAAAACAAAACTAGACAGTTTTGTTACCGGTCAGTGTGTTTTGCTGCCATTGCTCACTTTCAAAGCTGGTCATGGTCCCAATTCAGCAAAGAACTTCAGCACATTAAAAAAAAAATTAAGACTCATTTTAATGGACTTCAGTTAGGCTTAGAGGCTTTGCCAACACAGCGCCTGAAAGGAAAAAAAGTTGCAAASCAAAATACATTTCATGGCTCAACCCTGCTCCCCTGAAATGCAACACAAGTTTCCACTCCCACTGAAGCAGGATAGTTCTCTGAGATTTACCTGACAGGTTATAAAAATAGCAAAAAAGGACAGAATTATAGATTCTAATCTATATATTAAAACATCTGCACATTCCTGTCACAAATCTTAGAAAAAAAAGCAAAACACTTTTTATATTTAACAAGACCTCTAACTTTGTGTCACTTCAGTACACAGCTATAAAATTAAACAAAATATGAAGACAGGCTTTTGTATCAATAAATTTGCCTTTTATTTTGGCTGTGGCCAAAGTAGACACTCTTCAAAAGACCTTTATTTATAAACAAGCAACTAACATTTTTTTCCATAATTTAAATTTTAAGACATATATTAAAGTTATATAAGTGGAAGCATATTTATTCCGTATCCTCCAAAATAAACACTTCTATCAAGGGCTTTTTAAGATACTGTATAAAAGCTAATAGAAAACCAGAACTGCTATATAAACATCTCATATTTAAATTTTAGAGATCCTGAATTCCTTTACTAAACAACAGGAACCAAATGTAAAAAAAAAAAAATAAAATCACACATAACATGCTCAAAGTGGAAAACAAAACTTTAAAAACCCCCCAAAAGCCAAAGCAACTGAAGAAAAACTTAGGAGGCTACTTAGACCAAAAATATTTAATGAATTCTTTATACCTAGTACACTAGGAAAAAGGTCAGGGTTTCTTCATAGATGTTGCACAAGCTTTTGATTTAAAGTGTGTAGAATTTATCGTCATGTCACAGAGCWGAATCCCAGCTGGAAGTGAGATGGCTGTGACCCAGGCTGACGCTGCCTGCCACCTTCCTTCAGAAAGAACATTGAATTTTAAAAGGCTACAGCTGAACTTTCAGGCTGTTGTGCAGAGGAATCAGTGGGAAAAATTTAAGAACCATTCTACAAAAACATGTTCATATTTTATACACACAGATTTCCTAAATATATATAAAGGGTACTTAGCAAGGCTTTATGTTTCTCTGATTTTTTAAAACCAGGTTTAAGTGCAATAACCATTTTATTCTGAATTTGTTTCTGCTAAGAAAGAAACTTATAGTCTTATTAGCTGGAATAAAAAAAGTCAGTAACTGGAAATGCCACTATTAAGCAAGTACCTTGTTTTAACTGCAATGCCACTGAAAGAGTTTAACGGATATTCAAGCAAATTAGCCTGATCATACTCAGCCCGAGTTTGCCTGAAAGAGGACAAAAAGGAATAACATGTTACTTATAGAAGTGCCTAGTAGCAATTTTAGATTGCAGTAAAAACGAAGAAGAGGCCTGAAACTAACATTGCATTTTTTTTTGGTAGCTGAAAAGAAGTCAGGGGTCCATCCTGAGCTAATTCTTTCAAACTTCACTTACAAGAAAAATAATTAAAAATCTGTTGGAAAAAAATGGTGGCACACTTGGCTTTCACTGAGAAAAATCCACTCTGGTGTGTGCCTAAGGGTGCCCATCCTCAGATTCTTAGGAGTTACATTTGTGCTTGATTTTGCTGAATCTCAGCATCAGCTTGCAATTCTTCTAAGTTTTAAGCTTGGGATAAAATAAGTTACACACATGGTTGCACACAGAATTCAAGCCTCACTCCTGCTTCCCCTGAAATTGGTGACCAAACTCATGCTGGTTTCAGTGGACACAGACTGGGCTCTGATGCAGCAGTGTGGAATTACAGCCCCCTCGGCCAACCCTCCAGGGGGAAAGTTGGTCAGGATCATAAACACTGTTTGCATCGTTTATGTTCACTCTAATCCATCATCCCTCCATYAGGTTTAAATTCTAG